AATTATTCACGTCTAAAAACAACTCTGGAATAACACTTAAAACTTTTATCACTGACCTTCAAAACAAGAAATCACAAAACATTACCCACAAAAAATGGCCTATTAACCTTAACTATAATCACTTACATTTTGATATTTTTATCTCGATGGTTTCAAGAGCAGAAATTCTGCAAATAACTTGACAAAATAGATACAGTTAAAACCCAAAACTCATCTGTATTGTTAACAAATTGGGATGTCAAATACATACTGACATTACTTATATTCAAAAACTGCAATAAATATGTCCATTTTGGTATTTTTCATTTTCATATGCAGTATTTCCTATTGGGATCTTGGCTTACATTATACCTAGTAGCAAACATACCTTTCCAAAGTAATGAGGCTTTAATTGAATGACCTCAGTAAGTACATATTAAACTGACCACACCGGAGGTAATAAAATATTCAATATGGGCCCTGTTCTACCTTAACAAAGGGAGTCCCTTGATAGCCTCACAATGGCCATTATTTGAAGCTTTGAGAGATAACAGGGAAGGTTTTATCCAATAACGTTTATATTATATCTAATATTCTGCTTTCATTTAGAGACTTTTTTCACATTCCATATGCATTTAATTATGCAACATAAACATGCAATTCAATTCTTGTATTATCGGGGGTAATTGTATAAATTTGGATTATGGGAAAGGTGCTGCAATGTATTAGCTGCTAAATTCGAGGGAATACCAAGGAATTGATTGTGTCAGATCTCTCATATTATTCAATAAAACATGGGATAAAATTTAGAATTTTCATTTGAAGTTGACAAAGAACCCACGCCTGCACTGATGCTTCGTGAATTACTTCAGCAAAATAGTCATATAGAGCAGACTTGGACTTTGATACCATAAAACATGTTCAGGAAATGAAATCCCACAAAAAAAAAACAGAAATAAACAACACAATATAAGTATGTTCATGGCTGATTTTGATACAAAATTGTGCTATTAAATGGCATATAATTTTATGACTTTCTTTGGAATTTTCAAAATCCCGTTTTAGATAAATACACCAGTGGCCACAGCAGGGGGTGTGAAGGGGAACACGATTCAAGTACTTTTACATACCAAAGAGGTCATAAGGCAAACGTATACACAAAACTACAAGCTTCTTCGATTCAAACACTGAATAGCCAATAAATAGACAATTTGACACATTTTTTCTCTGTCCAGCCAAACAAGCAAGTGTTGGTATGAAATTAGCACCTGTATGGGGCAACTGACACAAGAAATTAGCGAGACCCTCGGTAAAAGTCAGCTCCTCTCACAGAAAGCTATTCCTGTGCTCATTTCAGGCAGCCAGACCTCCTTCTTGGGTCAGAACCAGCTGATAACGGACTCGGGGAAGGAAATTAACTCAACGCTCACATTGCCAAAAATTACATCTGTAGGCTGTAGGCTGTAGTGGTAGGGTGAGGTGGCATGCATAATTAATAAGTCAGGAGTAAGGCCTGACTCGACCCAACGCTGGGACCATACCACTGCACGGCACCATCCTCTCCGGGCTGGCCCAACAAAGAACATGCTTGATGCTATACAATTCTCGCCTTAGTCATGCTATGTTCTCAACCCAACGAAAGCTGCTATAAGAAAATAAATTACTCAATCATCCCCTTGAGCCTGGTAATATGAATTGGCGAGGTGATTTCGCGCCATCTTTGTTTTACCCCATGTGCAGGCTTGCGATGCTTTCCACGAGGATAAATGTTCCGGGTTTTAAACCGTGAGCTTAATCCCTCATCAATTCTCAGCCACGTTTAACATCGTTATAACAATTCCTGTTCACGATCTTTCTCGGGGCTGAGCAGGTTTAGTTTAAGTCAAAAGGTTTTTCGTCTAATTGATTTTCGGTACATTAAGAAAGACACTTGAATATTCTACATACAAAGGTCTACTAGCCATGAAAAACTATCATCATCCAACACTCACATCATCAATATATCTTGTTTAACAGAGCATTATCCTTACTGACTGTATCACTATCCCACTTGAATCACTATCGCCTATTGACTATCATTATCCCTTATTCACTGTATTACCTTCTCCTATTGACAACAGCTACTCACATCTACTCAAAAGCTTACCTACCATTTATAATACACCCCAAATACATTACATAACTCCCTGCACCATACCCATCCTCACTATTAACCTGATAATGAGCTAAACAGTATCCTCCTTACTATTAACCTAATGATGCCTTACACAGTACCCATCCTCATTATTAACCTTTAAACACCCTACAATGTACCACTCCTGACTATATACTTATAACACCTCCCATTATACCACTCCTGACTATAACCTTATAACACCCTACACTATACCACTCCTGACTATAACCTTATAATGCCCATAACTATACCACTCCTGACTATAACCTATAACCTGACTATAACACCCTACACTATACCACTCCTGACTATAACCTTATAATGCCCCTAACTATACCACTCCTGACTATAACCTTATAACACCCTACACTATACCACTCCTGACTATAACCTTATCATCCCTACACCACTCCTGACTATAACCTTATAACGCCCTACACTATACCACTCCTGACTATAACCTTATAACGCCCTACACTATACCACTCCTGACTATAACCTTATAACACCCTACACTAAACCACTCCTGACTATAACCTTATAATGCCCTACACTATACCACTCCTGACTATAACCTTATAATGCCCTGCACTATACCACTCCTGACTATAACCTTATAACGCCCTACACTATACCACTCCAGACTATAACCTTATAACGCCCTACACTAACACACATGTACATTATTCCAAGTAACACCCAAACTATACAAATTCATTGTAACTAATGACAACACTGACCAAATTTCCAATGTGATATTAATAATAGTGACAAGTGGCCGATATTCATGGCATATCTCCATGTTCCTTGAAGTCCCAAGCTGAAAGCCAGCCTGATCTTTCACACTGTGTAGAGACAATTGATGCTGATCGGTGGTGTTCATCAGTTAGCGAGTCTGTCGACATCTGCTCACTTGAACATAATACGAAATCACATCAATTCAAAGCTAGATCAATAATGATCAACTGGTGAAATACGAGCACTTCAGATTTATGTAAACTGTTCTGTACATTCCTTCAGCCATAATGCTTCACATATCTCACCTAACACATCTCCCAAATCATGAAAACACTGTCAGACAAAAAACAGCAAACCAATTCAAGACGATAACCTTTTTACATAAAGAAATAACCAAGATTTGAAAGAAGACAAGAAGCCTGTCTAATGTCCACATATTTCAAAATAAAAGAACACACAATACAAGACTATGCTCTTGCAAAATGGAATTGAAGAGTGACCTTATTTGGAGTCAAATATGCTACGGAAGTAAGAACACCCGCTTCTTTCATACAATCACAGTTTATTTGTCAGGAAATTGTAATATGAAAGAATCTAATGTTCTTTCACTTCTTCCGAGTAGTATACAATGACCTATTTTGATCTGATTTGTCCTGGTCAAACCAATCGAAGTGAGTATGATTCAAAGAAATTAGATTTCTACAAATATCTGTATTTACATGGAAACGAGGTAGAAAATGAACGTCCCTCAATTAGCATTGTCTAGACAGAGGACGACAATCTACATTCCTGGTCAATAACAAATATTGTCGGATAACTTAACTATTCATGGCAATCACACTGGGGGAGGCATGAAGACCTATATATATAAAATAATCTTCTCCACCAGGTTATCTAAGTCGTTAATAACTTATTTCAAAACTAAATGTCAAATACATATTTAAGAAGGTTTTTCTTCCCTGGTAAGTCGACTTGACATTATAGGAGAAGATAAAGGTACATGGATAAAAAATGCCAAATTGAAGGACAAAATGGGCAAACTAGTTGCAAGCTTTGTATAAGTGGAGAAACAAAATATGTAACATTTCAATTACATTTGTTAAAATAGGAAGTCATGTGCATCTTGTTACAGGTTAATGGCAGTTTCATAATATTGTACAACACATCTAGGAATTGTAAAAAATGATAACTCAAACATTGTTTAACTCAAAATATGTAAAAAAAAGTACATATTGTATATCTAAGATGGAAGGAAGGTAACTTGGCACTACAACTATTGCGTTACAAAGATTGCCTTGCTGTAGGTCTAGATGCATAGGTATGAACCTCGCACAATACAAACTCCACGAATGTGGCAAATCACATTAGTTGTTAATTTCATTAGAGCAAGCAAACTCATAACAGTCAGGTCAAAGGGAAGCATTCTGTCAAATATGTTGTTATTTCAGTTAAAATGGGTGGCAGGGGTGAATATATAATATATTGCACAGTAATATGGCCCAGAACCAAGGCTAAATGCCTAATTGTGTGCCTCTTGGTACTTTGTGTAGTTTGTCATGAATACATGTAAATTTCCCTGAAAAAAAAATTACATAGGAAGATTTCATTTCACAGCAATTCAACAATCAAAATGTTCTTAATAAGGATAAACTCATGGCACCATTGTTGAACATTATTCATGGGTATAGTGCTGTATGTTGTAATTATTCGTGGAGGAAAGTGTTAGGGCAATCAGGTTAATGAGTCCTGTGTGCTCATTCATTCATTCATCCATGTTAGTTTACTAAAAGGAAAGATACAAAGGTTGCTAATGAATAAATAAGGGAAAGATGATAGCAATAACATGAAGGTTATAGCGGTCTCCTCATGCTATGGAGATGAGGGTTTCTACAACCTATCCGCCCTCAAAAAGATTTTGGAATGCTCCTAAACACTGAATGGACTGTTCCACACTGTGTGTTGAGGGCGGATAGGTTCTTCCAATGTAATGAGGATGTGGTGAAAAGCATCCCATGCTAAATGAATGAAGGAAATTAGTAGGCAAATGAATTAATTCGTTTTAGAAGGGTTAGAAAGGTCAAGGTCATCCCAGAAAACTAAGATGTACCTGAATTTTACGCTGTTTCAAATTAATCAGCTTCAGTGGGAGAGGAGGAGTGGACTCCCCTGAAAGCACCAAACTGTAAAATAGGAAATGAAAATTAAAATCTGAAAAAGGAAGAAAAAGAAACAAAAGCAAGGAAACAGAACAAAATCAAAACAAAAGTCAACAAAAAGATAGGTATCAGAATCAAATAAAACATGTGAATAAGACAGATTTGAACACAAAAAAAGATGACATAGTGTAAAGGAAAAAGATGGCAGAGCAGGTAACAGTGGTGTCTGCGTCTGTGCACTCTGTTACCATGGTGATGCTATATTCTTACATTCCAGATAAAAGAAATGCTTGTTTTACTTGAAAAGAGACCAGCTTATGTGTGTCAATTGAAAGAGTGACCCTAGTCGCTATGGTGACTGTAAACACTCCTGGTTTTTGCCAGCAGATCTGGATGAACACAAAATGCCAGAGCGTATCAAACTGTCCTTCAAGCTGTGCGTTTTTACCCCGGTGTGACACAACTGACAGATGAACCACTGCAGGTGTTCCGGATTACCCATTGTACTCAACTATGACACAATAAAACATTGAGACACATATCACATTCAAACCTTTTATTCCAAGGTTGATTTCAGTTACCTTGCCGTTACAATTGAGAGATGAGAGAATTATTAACATACATACTTAAATCTATTAGTTTCAAGCAAGTGAGAATATTAACACCTGAAATGCATGTATCGCGGGGTTTTATTGTTTGGTGTGATTTTAAATTTGTGTGAATGCTTGTTGACATGATGTTCCGGTGACATGATTTCAAGGAGATGAGTGAGTGCAGGCATGGGCCCAACTCTGGGCAAATACTGGGAAGCCCATGTACGGCCCCTGCTCAATTTGCTTAACAATTGACGGGTGTTGGAGTGACCTAGTTGGCCTAGATTCTATCCTTTGTAGTTGGGGAAACCCCTAACCTAAAATTACCTCGACTGGCATGTGTATAATAGATAATCAATGGACACATGATGTAGCGGTTGTCTTCATCGATAGTTGCCACTTGATGCGAGGCGTCACTCCCAGAGACACAGACAACCGTCAATCACATTGCTCTCACCTCATGCAAGTGATACTGTCACTTGCGATTGTTTCAAGTTAGTGGAAACTTTCTCCCAGACGATAGCGTCGGTTTTAATTCCATACTTGTCAACCATGCTCATTGTGACCTGGTTGTGTTGTTACAAACGTTGATGTGCATTGCAAGATTGATCTGTTGGGCAGGGACATGAACCCAGTCTGATCCAATCTAAAGATGTCTGCCTTATTATGATTGCCACCAGTTTAAATTATCCAGAAACATATCATTTTCAAATGAAATAAATTATGAAAATCCTAAAGCTTTATTTGAACGTCAACAGCTTCATGACTATTTTGAGACAAATTGATAATATTAATATAAAATAGTCATGTTAAATGGGTGTCCTAAATTGTTTTCCTCAAATAACTTTCATTTCCCATTACTTCCAAATGCAGCCTATTTTCCCCATAAGCCATACCTCAGTAGGCAACATGGCTAAATTTTTAATAACGCCAGTCAAAGCATCCTGGAAACAGACAGAGCTACGTACTCTGCAACCTCCTCTTACAGGTTATTCGTGTCAAGCTTGCTCCCCTTGGCTTTGTTGTCAGACAAAGGGAGGATGAAGAAAGACCTGGAACACCTAGCCACATCCTCTCAACCCCCACCCCTACTTCTCCCCCATATCCTCCAGCAGCCTGCTTGGACATCGCCTACCCACTGTGCCCAGCCTTGTCATTCTCTAGCTGCACAGATGTACCGTAACAGCTGGTTAATGACAAACTTCCAACTGACTGTAAGCTTAGTTTTAATGTACATGTAACCAGCATAGAATGATTTATCATTTGGGAACATCTTTAAGTTAGTTAATACTTTCAGCTTAGACGCTTCATATGATGCTTTGGATGTGCATGAATTATTGCGAAAACTAATGTTTACTGTTATGTCATTTTGAAAACTATGGAAATTATTAACAGATGTGGTGTAATGATTTGGTTTGAATGAAAATCCTTTCTTAAATAAATAATCATAACATACTTTTTCCGCTTTGGCATTTACCCTACATTAGTGAGTGCTCACCGTGTAAACCATTTCACTAATGTTTTTGTCTGCGTAGAATGACGTTTCAAAAATCTTATTTACATGCAAAACAGATTCCTCAATTGACAGAAGCTTTTATCTTAAAAACGTCACAACAAACTCAATCAATCATGGCCAATATTTAGGGCTGATAAAATTCATTTTACTATGCCCGAGACATAATCGCTCAGCTTAATTATCATAATAACACAATTTCCTTTTTCAACTAAACAGCGGTGACCTCATTTGCGGAGTTTTCTACCAACCAGGTAGCCTATCAACGTAATTGTTTTAATTGTACTACTATGTGTACACAAAACCGCATCTGCAAACCATCAGCTCCCATCCGACTTCAGAGAAACTTGTCACCGTAGAACAATTAATTCCCCTGCATATACACTGGAGCATAATTGTATTCCATAGACTCTATGCTCTGAGTTTGTTGGTTAGAGCTTTGCGAACAGTTTGTTAGTGGAGCCAGCTTAATTAACATATTCACCGTGGGCCTTTCATCTCCACGTTCATTGTGGGGTTACCTGGCGTTAATTAGCAAATATATTTTCTCGGCACCACATTTAGGCTGTCATTCTCCACTACTTGCTTCATTTACATAATGAATTATGGAAATGGGGCTTTCAAATCAAGCTTTATATTTTTCAAAATGGAAGTTTGACCCGTGTCAGAGGCAATAAATGCATGGGTTTCAGGCTGAATGGGATTTATGAAATCTATAGAAATGTCGCACTCTGTAATGTTATTCCTGCATGTGGTTCAAAATTATTAGGCGGAAACGAGAAATTTTCAGGAGGTATGGAATAATGATACCTTGTATAATCGCCCTGAAACACACTTTGTGAACTGTCACTATAATGGACTGAAAATTAATAAAATAAAATATTACCAAGATATCATCACATAAAAAGCAAATTTCAAATTCTGTCAATCCCTTGAAAGCTTACATTTACATCACTTTCACTAAGATTATAGACTGAGTTGCAGTCTGATGCAATATCCTAGTTCCGGGGCATTACTACCTGGAGGCTAAAAGCGAACATGAATATGCATCTGAGCTTGTATTTCCTGATACACCTGGGCCCACCAGCTTCTGTACGGCAGCTCTCATTGTCATGGAGATGAATATACAGTTATTTATAGAACAAATGACTGACACTATCCGCTCAAGCAGAAATGTCATAATTCTATGTGACTGCAAAATATATTATCCTGAAAACTATCCATCCTAAAAGCAGATTGTTTTGGCTTGAAACATAATTTATTACTGCCCAGAATGATGTAGTAAAAATATACACTCATGAAGCCCTAAACAATTACACTAAGAGCATGAAGGGAAATTATTTGATTTACTTTAAAACAGATGAACAAATGTACAAAAGCAATTCCAATTTTTTTTATTGAGTCGAGTCTAGTCAATTACAAGCCCAGATCAGCTTTATTGCCTGTCAGATAGATCTACGCCAAACTCGCTCACTTCACAAATGAAGAGACGCCAATAGTGAGTATGACTACAATTCCACAGATGTCATGATTATTCTTGAATATTACGACCAACTCGGTGAACAGGGTACTCTCGAAGGAAACATTTCCTATTACAAGTTCACACACAATTACATGACACTGATAAAATTTGGAGGAAACTTTGACAAAAGATTAAAAAGATCTCATTGTGTCAACACTAACATGTGAAGTCAAAACTAAAAGATAAACGAAATTCCTGTCCCAAATGTTGTGACTTGAGAGATCTACTCAATAGCGTGTGCGTGCAAATCATGAAAGATTATAATACCTTCAAAACCGGGAGGCATATTGAACTTGTCAAATTAACCAATGTCACATGGACACATTTTTCTGTTGATGTGAATTTGAGCCCAACAGGATGAGAAATACAGATATATAACAATTCAGAGCCAGTCCCTAGAAGGTGAATCTCTTTCAGATGGTAATACAATCCGTGTGTCTCCATGGCAACCATGGCGGGTTTACTAACAGGATATTTTTGTCCGTTTCCTTGTGTATAAATCTTATTGGGTCTGTAGGTAAACATAGGGCAGTATGAAACTCACTTGCCATCGATTCAATCGCTGTATGTCCTGGCATTTATAACATCTTCGCCAAATTCATGAACGTACAACTATTTATAGGTGTTCATTTGTAGATAAAGGAGGCATATCATATTTAACAGCATTCATACTTGCTATCTTTCAAACAATAACTGCTGACTTCTATGAATGATTCCAAACTTTAATTTTGATATCCATGTTGTTAAAATAAACATGCAAAAATGGAGACAATTTTTTTTTCCTAATAATGAAGTCTGCAAATGAGAAAAATTGACATAATATATTTTATTTGAGTCGATAACTCAAATGAAAGTTGTGTTTACAAACTATCACGTTTTCAGTTGGTATTATTCAGAATGTTCTCACTGTTCTATGGCTGAAGCAACATGGTATATTTGCCGTCTCCATGGCACAGCTGAGCATTCCGAAGAAACAGGCTGAATGAGGAAGATAATCGGACACACCCATGCCAGTATTCAATTAGAAAACACCTGTTTGTATGCATTGCATCATGACTCATATATTCATATCTGTGTATTACTCACTTAGAAAACCCATGGTAATATATTGCTGTAAGGCTAACAAAAAATGTTCTGTGTTGGAATATTTTAGACACGCATATCTGTAGGAACAATTACCTTTTAAAAACATTTTCTTAAAATACTGGCCAGGAAAATATATCTGCCAGATGTTTTGGATGCCCCATATCCTATTCACAATACTAACACCTGATATTGGTTAGGGGACCCTAAAACCTGCTTAAGGGGTTCAGTACTGAGGTAATTTAATCACAACCTAAACCACGGTTATAACTAGTGGTCAAAGAGACCCAATCTGTTTCTAGAGGGTCAGTAGATTCCTTACAACCCAAGCCCTTGTCATACTTCTGTCAAAAATGCCCGATCTGCTCCTTCTGGGTTAGCGGATTATTTCATCACAACCCAAAACAGTGGACAGAGGGCCCAATCTGCTTCTAGAGGGCCAGTAGATTACAGAGTTCCTTCAGCAAGGCCGGACAGTCACATCTGTTTCTACACCTCTCCCATTGTACCCCTGCCATCCAGCAGTGGACCGACAGCAGATTTGACCATCGTCAGTCACACCTATGATTTACACCTAGCTCATACAAAGGAGCTTATCTCCACAAGACCGGAGGCACAGGGCCTGAACAAAAGATCGCCTGCTGATGCCTTGGCTTTAGGGACAGACAAAACCACTCCATCACATGTCAATGATTAAAGTAATTTTGAAATTCACATCTCAATTAGCATGATTGTTGGGTTTGAAGACTTGTATGATTGCTTGTTTATGTCATGGGTTATAAAATGTAGGATTGAACAAACAACTGTGATCATTCTCTCACTGTACCTGTTCAAACAACATGCTTTCTGATTGTATAACTGACTTATTGATTACTATATTGGACATTGATTTAAACATAATAACACAATGCATTTGGGGCAATACAATAATGTTTACACTCAAGGACTGGACTTGTCTCAACTTTGCCATATAAATGTGACAACTGCTATGTATTAATAACTGTCAATGTTATAAGCATGATGAAATGTTCATTATTCTGCCATTTGACATTTCGAGCCATTATTCTTCAAGGAAATCTCCATCCCGTGAAAAACAATTACATTATCAGTCTCAAACCTGACAAATTTCTTAATCTCTTATGTTCACAACCAACTACCTGTATCTCCAAGGCTCAGCTTTAAAATGTGTCATTTGGATATTACAATCCAGCGGCCATAAACATCACCCATGCATAAAACACAAACTAAACTTTTTTCCTAACATCAAAAGAAACAATAGCTGTGTGCTATGGTCTAAACACCACTTTGATAATGAAGCCACAAGCCTGGGATTGTCCCTCTGGGCAAGGGTTATTCCCTAAATGCGAGTCTCTTTGTTTCAGTGAGTTGCCTGTACCTAGACAGTGGATATGGGTGAGAGACTCGGCCATTCTCCACCTGTCAGTGAGAGAGAGACAGAGAGGCTGGCGTGATGTCACAGCTCCAGCTGGCCTTCACCAGAATATATAAATTTCATTCACCATGCTTGATAATGCATCCATTATTACTTATTTGAAATTCAGACTATATGTAAAATATCATATTTTAATTACAGACACTAGTTGATTAATTTCTGTTCCATTGGCCATGTATGATAAATTTAAAAACCAAATCATTAATAGAGATTACGATATTTTTACATTCCACATTACATCCTTTCTTTCTGAAGTTAAAAGCAGTTGTCTAACCAACACGTCCTGGGATCACAGTACCATTTTGGACATTCACACACATACATAAATCGCAACTGCTGACAAATATGGGGTCTTAGAAGTAATTTAGCCAAATTCCCTTTTATTTATTGTTATTATGTGGTAACTGTAGATGAAACTGCATGAGTTCGCTGCTTCATATTGCTGGCGTAAAACTAAATTCGTGCTGTCTCTATCCATCAGAATGCCTGTTAACTCTCTACGCTACTGCTTTTGATCAATAGTTCGCAGATGTCAGCCGAGCCAATTAGCTTATTTTCTTCAGGGAGTTTCTTGTCAATAAAAAGAATCCAGATAAATTTAGATCTTTCACTGTAGGTAAAGATCAGGTTTAAAAACTATCCTGTGTTATACATCAAGATTTTTGTATCTGCACCAAATACTACAATAGTACACAACGCAACAATGACAGGTGCTTGTATGAATTTTACTGTTATACATCTGTTTCATGGATGAAAAAAATAGTAGAATGAATATTGATTAAAAATAAGGACATGAATCTGTTGAAGCTTTGACTATTTTTTTAAGGTTTGATAAAATAAATTTTGATGACGATGTCCAGTTTTTGACACATAAGAACCTGAAATCTTGATAAATTGAAAGTCTACATCCGCAAAGACTGTGTTTTAGAAATTTGACTCATCGCTGAAAGCATGCTGTAAAAGTAATTTCTCTAGTATCACCTGGTGCTTGAGAATAACCCTTAAAAACAAAATGTTAAATCCAATTTAACACATGGTGCCCTGGTACAATATCTTAATTAAGAGAATCTAGTTCATCAAATTACACACCAGTCACAGACTTGGGCAACACAGAATAAAACAATGGTAGAAATGGCTTTGCGAGCCATGAATAGAGCTTGTCTACCACTACTTCCATCCATCCTATTGGGTTGGCTTTGTACAGCAACGAGAAAATAGCTTGGCAACGCTCGACTGCCACAGCGCTGTCATGGCACTATTATGAAGCAGTGAACTGCAACTGAAAAAATGTCATAGCGACTGCGCCAAACAGGAACACTCTGAACTTGCTCTGAAACAAAAGTGGTAACTAGGCAACCAGATTGCTCTGAGAGAGCTGCCAAGGAAATGGGGATTTTCAACCCCACTTGTTATATAGCTTAGAAACAAAGTCAAACCTAGTATCTTGGTTCACTACTTGTACCTTCAGAGCTTTACGGAAATATGATTATAAAACACTGGTTTTGACCTTGATTTGGAATATTCATGACGTAAATGGAATAAATCTTATAAAATGCTCAGTAAATTCTTCTTAAACAGGGCCTTAGTTCTTCTTAATGAGATTGCCAATGGTAATGTTTTATCTAAATTGGCCATAGAAGCATCGTGGTTGATTTGAGTGGTGTGAGCAATGCCAGGTATCTGTGAAATATCTCTACAAGCCCAGCTGGCAGAAGGAGAGCGGGACTGCCCGGCATGTAGTGGGGGCCATCAGTCCCTAGGGCTCCTCACAGTGAACCGCTGGTCAATTATATGTAGCTACAACCCTTATAGGGCTTCACTTTAAATTAGCACGAGTCTGTGTGCCATTGTAGCTGACAGTATTCGGCCTTTGTTCCCAAGATTATTGTCTTGGTACAAGGCTCTGAAGCCATTAATAACCTCCGGTAGTAGAGAGAAAAGAGGATGAATTGTCATAGAATATTAATGTGCCCAGCATCCACCGAACAAACAAAACTAAATTAAAAACAGCTTTGAAATATTTTTGCATTTGCTGATGAAGATTGTTTCATCAATGTTTCTGCCAGAAAAATTGTATTTGTATTTTTCGTTTCAGCTAGCTGTCGGGTGCTACTTTTAAGATTTTCTAAAAATAGTTTTGGAAGCTCAGCGTTGTCCAGAAGCAATCACATGAAAATGAATCCTAGAATATTGTCTAGACCTGTTTTTTCCAAGATGACAAATTCATCCTGAAGCAGAAGTGCTATCGGGAATAAAGTTGATAATTGTTGTACAAAGATACACAATTGATACATATCCCTATTACAAACTCTACAATGAGCTAAACCAAATAATAACACTGTACAACATTAAGCCACAGTGTAGTAGAATGTCACTATTTCTGTGAAACATAAGTGTATGAATCATGCGACTAGGTGCTAAAATGTTACACATTGTTACTGTAGAGACCTTACAACAGAGAGTGGTATGAAATGTATCACTCTGTGACTGATCTAAATGATCCAAATAATTTGTTTTAGGATCAATTTGGCTGACTCCTTGACATCAATTTATTGATCAACTTGAGTCAAAACATACAACACGTGTCTTAGGCTATTTCTCCAATGTAGGAGATCAAATCCAACGTTATATAGCAACTTGAGATCATTTAAGTGAGAAAGCTGTATGGATGTGTTTCACTTTTCACACTACTAATAAGACAGATACAAGACTGAAAGAATGAAGTGTGGGTGTGTAGCTATTCCTTACAAGCAGTAGTGTAAATGACATAACCGAAAGAAGGATACTAATACTGAAACAAAGAATGGAAAGCGCAGAGAGGAATATTACCTGCTAACCGAAGAGCTGACATTCTTTGAAACTCGGGTTCTTGTAACCATTTCCACATCCTTCTAAATGTTTCCCGTCCAGACTTGAGTTTGCTCCATGGCTTGGGGTTTCTCAACAAGTCGCTCAAAGTCCCTTGACTCCGACATAGTACCCTCTGTGCAAAAACTGCTTGTGGTATGCTGTAGCGCTTCAATTCGCTACTTATTCTTTGTGCCAACTCTTTTGTGTTTATTTCTTCAACTTCTTGTTGCTTATTGGGAGATTCACATCCTGGCCCCAGTCTGTCTCGCTGTGGACTTTCACTGTGTGGAGAGGGAGTTGGTGCTGACCCATGAAGACCATTCATAGGGGACATCATTGGATTTGGAGAATGAAGACGGGCAGACACAGGGTCAATCCGAATTGGTGTGGAGGAATACGGTGAATCAAAAGTAGGCGAAACATGCATTTTGCTTTCGGGTTTAGGCGAACCAATGCCGTTTTGTCCATACCCGTATCCAAGACCTTGTTGGTAGTTATTGCTCATCATGGTCATCGGTGTGGCACCAAGAGATGGCCCCATGTTCATTCCCATACTTATCTTGTCGTAGCGGTATGGGCCCATGTCCATCCCGATCCCATTATTCTGAGGCATCAAGGTAAAACTTCCACTGACATTTGACGAAGGAACATGACTGAATTTGTCTGAAACAGTTGAGATCGGCGGTAGCGGCTGAAGAGGGGTGAGCGTTGCGTAGCTGTTAGTAGGACTATAGTTGGGGGACATCCTACCATTGAGGGTATGGTAGGTGGCCTCCCCCATTTGGGAGCGGAACTCACTGCTGTCTATCATGCCGCTAACACTGACTGGAATGGCGTCTGCCCGGGATATACTAGTAGGCGAGACGGACAACTCGGGGTTACTCACGTACTCGGTCTCGCTGGCTGTGCTACTACTGGCGGGCGCCGCGGTTGTGCTGACAGACGACGAATCGCTGATTTGTTGATCACTCGTTGGGAGCTCCCCCATGTTTTCCATCGTCATTCCTACGATCAACAACCGATCGAACAATAAAGAATGATAAACTGTCACTTATTGTAACCTTTGCTAGCGATCTGCTGGTTGGCTGGTCTGTTTAGGGGGCTATTTACGTACGCTGGGGAACTGACAATAATCTCCAAGCCTTGGTCGATCCGCCATGTTTAGACAGCTGTAACCCAACGACCTGCGCACAAACGCACTGCGCATTTCAAAAACCACAATACGCGTGCGCAAATAATTAAGCGTTCGGGGTTCGCATACGTTTAGCGAGTTACCTTTAGTTTGGTCTTGGTGTGCAACCAACACACTTAAGACCTACCGGGTATTACATGTGATTTGATGATCACCTGTTTGTGATAGTTCCATTTTGGAGAAGTGATAGCTATATATCGCATAGGTAAATATTCTTGTGCATGAATAAAAGAACAGGTAAAGTTTATTTTCTCTTTTTCTACAATAAGGGCTTTCTTCTCAAAACTTTTTCCTCCGACTTCTGAAAAGTTTCATGCTTGTTTGTGAATGCTTTAGTTTAATACTTGTGTTGTAATGTTGATGGGACTTTGTTTTGAGATGTCCAGTAAAGCACATAAGTGGTGAAAGTTTGACGTTTCTTCAACTTTAAGTAAAACTTACTTACATATATTGTTTACAGTATTACGGAAAATGGGCGCTTTAGCCAAGTATGTAACTATTTCATATACTTTATAAAACATTTAATGTGTGCACGTTGATTTAATGTTATTAGATTAAATCACCCGTGCAATACCTTCACCGTGTGTGGTTGTAAACAGGGGTTCGACTGAGTACAAATTAAACATATTTAATTAGTTGTCAACGCTTGGTTAGTAATTGTGTACGAAAACTTTCAGAACTTGTAGAGCCCATTTAAGCATTATTTATTGTCGACAGTAAGACAAAAGTATCACAATCAGTATGCCGAGGCTTTTTGTTTATCATGTGCGCTTGCGAACACAATTTACAAGCATATGCGCCGGGTTATGAATAATTGACGGGGCCGTTGTTGTGAAGATTGATAATTAAGACTGGCAGCTGAGTGTGAAATCACATTGCATATACAAGACGATTGCGATCTGAGGTTGACAGACCTCAAAACGGTTGACGGAGGTCCCAGTCGTATGCTAGTCTATAAATGTACATCAGATCTATGAGTTATGAGACTGTATTTTACTTTACCAATTAAGGTTGTATAACTTATTTGAAAACGATGTCTTTAATCACTGAATGTTTCAAGTCAGCTTTTCTTATCTAATGTTTTTTATGCATCGAAAACGTATTAAACACAATAACACAACAGCATCTTAGTGTGCAATGGTGTTTCAATTTTGAAAGTTAATATAAATCGGGTTTGATATGGTTTCGCTTTAGAGACGGCAAGTTGCAGAATTTCTGTCTTGTTAGTGTCTTTACATGAAATGAAAACATGTTATGTTATATATACCGTGTTGAAAGCATACGTTACACAACACTTAATGCACGGCATTTGTTTAGACAGTATCACCAAAACAAATATAGTACATAGTGAACTTCCACAGAGTTTCCTTAAGTTGTGAAAGATTGGCGTGTGTATAACAAGTGTTACTACAGCATCGGACAGGAGTCAGTATGAACTAAAGAGCGACTGGACAAAGACTGACCGCGATGGTGCGAAAAGAACCACAAATAAACCAGTCATGCACGATACACGTTTTGAGTAGCTTTCCACTAAAAGCGCGCGTGTATACAATCATCGCCACGAGCTTGTACGTCACGGATATGAAGTGGACAAGTTTGAAATGTCGGTGAAATTACCATTATATTAGTTCAGATAAGAGATGAAGAGGTTTAACACGTCTTTATTTTAATGGATGTGTTATTATGTATACCGGTTTATACTGAGATTAAACGTTAATTGGTTCTGGAGATGTAAGTGAATATTCTTGCATGTGCAACAGGCGCATAGAATGACTTCACGCATGACGTTTGAAAGACATATGAAGAACATCTCGGTTCACGTCGAAAACATATTTATACAAGCTTAAACAAGGAATTCATACAATAAGTAAAGTTTAAAGTTTCACATCAGCAAACAGCAAACAATACTACAAACCCCTATTCCCTGAGAAAGAAATAAACCTTGACACTCAATGCATGATACTGCAGCCATGCACGAACAGAGATTTAAGGACTATAATTCTCGATGATAAGTACTTTATCAGAAAACACGCGCCCGGGTGATAACGGTAAATTCTCCTCCTATATCCTCCTCAGCAACGATTTCACTATATCTCTCACGTCGCCTTAACACTAAAAGACTAAATCTAGCTAAAAGAGTTAAACAAAGAGGCAACTTAACATAAAACCTACAAGTCATTGTTTTCTTCCCTGAAACATGCTTACGGTTCTGTCCACACGTAAATCTCCCTATCGGAACAACAGGTAACTGAAACGCTGACTTTCGATTCATCGAGCGTTTTGTTCAATAGTTACTTGTCGGTTTACCTCAGCTTCGAGGCGATCAAAGGCAGAAATGGCCAAAATACTGATTTTCAATAACTCTCCTTGCTTGGTGGCCTGATATCAATGCAAAATAATAAAGCGCTTCAGAAGGGTAATTCCAGTTGCATCATCCAAACGCCTTCCTTTGCTGCTGCTAAGAGGAATAATTTTGTGTTTTAAGGTCACTTTTGCGATGGATTAATGTCAATTTCACTTCGGATACTACACTGCTTGTTTACGGATATGTATAAACGATGTGGATGTCTCATAGACATAGCTTGTTAATTGCGATAGGTAAGTGAACGGTTTTGAAGAGGTCGGATGATGATGTATAAGATTATGTATGACTTGTGTTTGTACAAATGGTAGAAATGCACGTGCAGTTTATTCCCAGGTAGTCAAATACAACCATGCACATACAGTAGTTAAACACTCGGATTTGTACTGTACACGTGTCAGTCAATACGACTGGCTCATATCCATCTTGTATAAGTTTAATAGTGAAATGTCAGTTTTGTCGGTGTTAGTGTCAGTGTTAGTGTCAGTGTTAGTGTCAGTGTTAGTGTCAGTGTGTGTGTGTGTGTGTGTGTGTGTGTGCGTGTGTGTATGTGTGTGTTAGTGTGTGTGTGTTAAATATTTAACCTATGGGCTTTATCAACTTAAACCACATCCATCACTTCGACACAAAACATATCTAATCACCAATTTCAAAGTACACAAATGTACCTTTTCATCACACGGGTATCAAATTTGTCAATTTCACGTTGAATATATTTCTTCACAAAACCACAGCTATTCGAAATTCTTAAACCAGTTTCCTCTGTTTGGGACTGTCTGTGAGGCTTATAAACTTACTGTAGAGATTCTAACTTTTGAAACTTAAAAGTGAGCAAAAGAGGATATTGTATGCAAGAAGATACAATAATACAGGTCGGGTTGTTTATTACACTGGACATGTGGCAGAGAACGTGTAACAACAGTAGACTTACAAATCTGTAGGTGTAAAAACGCCATTCATAGACCCCCCGAGGCTATAACCGGAACGATAACAAAAGCTAGCATGTGCATATGAAAACCACTGTATGTTAGAGCTCTAATTTCCACCTTTTATACATCTTCCAAATCCGGCATTGTATGACAACGGTGATGAAAAAGGTGCTCAACAGAAACAATTATCTTTTCTCGTAATTCATTCACTTGTATACAGCGTTCCCAACACAATACAACCCCGAGCTAAAACACAACAGGAAAATATACAAAAATGATTTATTGCATTTTTAACGGAGACCAAATGCATTAAAACCATTTATGGTTTCCTTTTTAATGAAAAGAAGAACGTTTCTATTGCGGTTGTCGGTGAATTTAGCCCACGCATATCTAGAATGCCTGTTATGAAATATATCAGCAGCGTTGTCATACACATTCATATGGAAGACGTGATGTTAATAGATTAATCGCGTGCAGTTACACAATTACCAGACTAAGTTGATGCGATTATAGACATACGCCCCTGATGGTAGAGGACAAAGACGAAGAATACATTCTATCAATTTCCCTATTTACCATTCCAGGCGCATCTATTCGCCCGTGGAAAAGTAAACTGTTTTAGGTTTGCAAACCTGCAACCTACAATTTTACTTATTTGCTCAGTTCTTAGCCAATGTCTCAAATAAGCAATAAGCCATATGCTTAATGATCAATTTATATCGGATATCCCATTACGTGAATATTTTTTGTTTGTATTTAACACACAGCATGTGTTAAAAACATTCGTTAGTAATTATTATTTATTTTACAGAAACATATATATTGTAATGCTTTCTCGACCAAATGATTACCTACGACGCATTCGTCTTGAGAGCTAGAGATGACCAACTAAAATATTACACATATAACAGCAATGTTTTAACCGTCCTCCCAAACGTTTAAAGTGCAATTCATTACATTTCTATGTAATATTGCCGACATCTAGTATTAATCAGTACACATTAATTTGTGTATATGAACACCCTGAATATATGACCGTAATCTCTTATGTTTGTTCGTAATATCGCTCAGACCATTTTGCGATTTGTCTCTTTTATTAGAAATATATACAACGTATATAGCTGGGATAAGATATTGTGTGTTCGCTGTATGAATAGCATTCAGCTATATCTTATAATCGTTTTCCATTGTAAAGTCGAGAGCAAATTTCGTGTTCGAAAGTTGATAAAATTTCTGATGCTGTAGAACACTAAGGTAGTCGAGTGGATACGGCTCTCACAGAATTGATTCTAATGTCACACGAGTCACAGTGGCACGTTCCGATGTTCCGAGCACACTGGGCTTAGAAGTGCCGCCTCTTTTCAATCAAAACAAACACCTCAAAGGGGCGGGCCTTTGTTCTCTGCGATGCATATTCATGAACCAAGTCCCGTTATATTGACGTAAACTTGTCAATATCCCGATGCTACATCGGACCAATCAGCGCGTCCGTTACAAACTGCTTTATCGCTCACATCGTCAATGAACAGTGCGCCTCGGGTTTATAAAACGATTACACTTGGGAATTAGAGTTTAGACTTACGATGGTTCCTTCTTAATTATTATGAAAACTGCTACGTGAGAATTTGTTCAATTGAATTGACAATAAATGCATTGTTTACGTTTTGGTTTGTTCTAGGGGGCTGAAGGTTTTATCATGGCGGCAATTAGAAGGAAGCATGGGAAAGTCGCTTTGGCAAGTTCAGCCGCGGTGTTGTTTTGTGACACTGGGTAATTCAGTTATCATTGATTCGTCTTATATTTATAAAAACAAGTGCGATCTCCGTTTATACTTGCATATTTACCAAAATCGGCCGTTAATCTTTCAACACGTGGTTGACAAACCGGCTCGTGCCTATGCGGGATCGATCCCATGCAAATCGATACATTCTATCAATGAAACAGACTTTGGGGAATCACCCAGTGAGGGAATTTACTACGTTTACTACAACCCTCGATTAATTTATAGCTATTGACGGGTTTTCGTCAACGGCACGATCCCAGTATGAAATATTCGATTCCACCTTATTCTCGTTGTCAATATTCCTTGTCTGACTTGCTGCAGTTAGGAATCAGGTTAAAACGACCCTGTCAATCGAATATCTGAGAACTGCAAACATGCATTCTTACATGTTTATTAGGTTACAATGTCACTGTTGTTTGGCAGGATAGTTTCTTCAATAATACTATTGATAGCTACAGGAATTAGAGACGAATCTCATTATAGCTATGTGTTCTAATTATTCACGTTTGGTTCATTGCTGAAGCAGTATCTATGTCATCTGTCATCAATAACCTACCTGGAGATCAATTCTAATATTAAATGATCAAAACAAGGTATTATTGAAATACTTCATCCCTTAACCATAACCAATCATCAGCAGAGTCAGGTACATATATGCTGGGTTTATTGACAAAATATATTTAGTTCTTGTGATCTTTTTATCAGTAATTTTCTAAAAGATTTATTTTCATAATGTGTATATGATATGTTATACATTTTGGAATAAGGGTTGCATTTACTGATCATTCACATTATTTCTTGATTTCCTTTTGTCTGTTTGAATCAGACCTGGTCACAAAGATCTACAGCAGAACAATATAGTTATGTGTCAGTCATATGTTTAATGTGGTCTGCAGATTTCTTTTCTGGAGTGTAAGATTAAAGAAAATTGTTATTTTGTTTAATTTTATAATTTTCATGTTTGACAGTATTGTTTATTATTTCTGTGTTTCTTGCAAATCATCAACTTTATATCCAAATACAGGACAGTCTTACATTACTGTTTTCTCCATGAGGTGGTAATGTTATGAAACTATTGAAAGGTCATGGCACAACTGATTTGCCTGATGCAAAGTTTAGCATTGAGCTCTCTTATAAATTTTTATACGAATATTCTTATCAATAATAATATCGTTTAAAAAACCCCAACTTGCTACAAAGATGATGACATATTCATTTTGATTAAAATGTAAAGTTGAATGTTGAGCATCGGTACATGATGGAATATTCTGGCATGAACATGAATTATTTGCTATAATATTTATGTAGTTACACATCAGTGAGTCTTTTGTCATGACAAAGTCTTTCTTATCTGTTAAAGCAGCAAGAGTGTTAGTTGCATGTATGAGCAGCACAGAAAGAAAACTGTTTGAAATGAAGAGGGATCAAGGTTGTCTTCTTCTATTATAAGATGACAGAATGTTTGTGTTTTTCAGATTTTACCCATAGAGGTTTGTACGTCTTTGTAAATATGATATCGAGGTGAAGATTTTCCTTTATAATGACAAAATTTGGTGATACTTTTAAAAAGAATTGATGAATGGATCTGTCAAAAAGGAAAAGTGAAGAAAAGAAAAGAATCTGAAAAATCATTATTCTTTATTCTGCTGAATGCATACTTAACACACAAAGTTAGGGAAGGATAACAATATATGTTTCATCTTCTAAATACTTCTCAAAGAGCTCACACAAAAGTTGTTTAATCAGTTAATTATGTAAATCACAAGATTGACTTGAAAACACAGCACACTTGGCAACAAGGTGAAATAACTTCTTAAAGAACAACAGATAAATCTAACAAATGTAGGTATTATTATTTCTGAAATAATTATAGCGTTTTGTCCATATGTTAACACCTCATGTGATACTTTAATGTAGGGAAGCTGCATCTTTATCTGCTCAACTGAACTGAACTAAGAATTTAGTGAAAAAGGTTTTGGTCTGGTAATTCCAGCTAATAACAGAGACTTATCTTGGGTTTAAACTAAGTATACTTAATTCTGATTTGTAAAGTCCATATTTTTCAAAATTCACATTTTCTTTACTTTGCATTGAATGAAATCAATTAATTCTTTTTCTCTTTATTGGTCATACTATTCATTTAAATTTTCCTTGCAGTGATAAAACTATATATATTGTATTGATAACCTACCCTGGAATATATTTTTAGTTCTGGTTTGGGATTTGTACCTTTTTTCAGACCTGGACAGATTATCAGTACCCGAGAAATTCTTGATAAATCGCTAGATAATAGTCATTACGTGACAATCTACTGACATAGATGGTAAAGGAAGTCAGTGTACAAGTAGCTTGGTACAACAGCTTGTTCTCAATCAGGAAATAACTCATTTATAAATGAAGGATAAGAAAATTACACAGGACTAATTATCAACAAATAAAGCTGTTAAAGCAAAACCCATGATATACAGCTGATCCACAGTTGGTAAATTCTGAGATAAAAATATCTCGATGCAGGTTTTGTAGTATATCTTTTGTTGTGCTTTTTTAGAAAACATTTTTTGTGTGAATAGTAAAAGTGTAATTTGTATTATTATACTGATTTGTGAGAGGAAATAGATTGTCCAGGTCCAGTCAATCCTTGGTCAAATAGTCAAATAGATATTGTCTCTCTGACTTGGAGTTCGAGCTACACTTTACAAGCTAGACTCCATACTTTTACAGCCTCTTAAAACAGGTACAACCATGTGGGGGTGGTGGGGTAGCGTTCACTTGTCACGCTGAAGACCCGGGTTAGATTTCCCACATGGGTACAATGTGTGAAGCCCATTTCTGGTGTCCCCCGCCGTGATATTGCTGGAATATTGCTAAAAGCGGTGTAAAACCCTATTCTCTCACTCACACTACAACCCTGTGTCAGGTCTGCACATGGTGGTGGGCTGGAGCACCTTGTCTAACCCTAGGCAGTAAACACTTCTTATTCATTTAATCTGTGTCTACATCTGACCAAGGCTAAATAGCCATGGCCATATGACCAGGATTAAATCATTAACATAAACATTCCTATAATTATAACAACAGTTGCTTAGCTTGTTCGGGATGACTGACCATTAATCCAGATACGGGTTAATCAAGGAAGCTCATCGAGGGATTAATATCTGGCTGTATAATTAGTGGCAATTAAGAGATTCTGTGGCTACTCAACCTTAGAGTAAGTGTTACATGGGACAATGATTGCCATGATTTGATTACAATGACCGACTAACAAACATGGTCAAAATAATGTTTATATTCATGAGGAGGTTCTCTTTGGTGGTTTGTCTTTTTCATGGTAAATTGTTAGGACTTGGCCATATTATACAGTACACAGAGTTGTCGCTTGTGTCTTCATTAATTTCTTTAAAAATGGTATTGTTTAAGAATTGACTTAATATGTTTATGCATATATGGAGGTGTAAGCTTAAATATGGGCTTTTGATGTAGATAAATAATTTTGTGAAACCAGCCTCGTCATAGACTGGGCGGTAGGGTAGCTTAGTGGTCAAAGCGTTTGCTTGTGACGTCGAAGACCTGGGTTCGATTCCCCACATGGGTACAACGTGTGAAGCCCATTTCTGGTGTCCCCGCCGTGATTTTGCTACTCAATCACTCACTCACTCATTCACATCATAGTCCATAGACATTCTCATCCCAAATTATTAACTGATAATGAACTTGTATATAATGATTTCAGCAAGGTCAGTATCTAGTTTAAATTACAGCTAATTCCAAAATTTTGTAATAATTCCACCAATGATTGTCGGGTTTGCTGAACCTTTACAGTAAAATCGTAAAATTTAACAGATAATTTCCATTGTAAAAAGTTTGATTTTCCAAGTTTAAGGATTTGGAAAGGAGGGTTTCTGGATTAGAGGATTCCTGATTAACAAGGTTGCACTAAACATTTAAATAATGACGGGAACTTTGCTGTTAATTCTAGACCAGTGCTCCAGATGATTATAGCTCCTGTGCATTCACTGTGTTTTCGTTCATTTGTTGTCTCTGGGCGTTGTACAGTTTTACTCCATTGGACCAACCTACTGGTAAATTTAAATCAATGCGTTAAAATTCTCAAACCTACTCCTGCTTAAAATTCAGCTTCAGGTGACGTCTAATTTATATCTGTCCACATGCTGCCCCAAGTGTGTCACATGTTGCATCAGCTTGAAACATCGATACATATAAGTTGCAATAAGCGAGATGTTGCCCCTGTTTATGCATCCCTCGCTGTTGTAAAGTTAATGTGTGCATGATGCCTGTATTCAATCAGTAAATAAAGATCTGTAAAGACATACAGGGATGCAAACTGAAAAGACTACATTGATAATGGCATAGTCATTATACTGTTGGGGCAGTGGGGTAGCCTAGTGGTTAAAGTGTTGGCTCATCACGCCGAAGACCCGGGTTCGATTCCCCACATGGGTACAATGTGTGAAGCCCATTTCTGGTGTCCCCCACCGTGATAATGCTGGAATATTGCTAAAAGCGGCGTAAAACTGAACTCAGTCAGTCAGTCAGTCAGTCAGTCATTATAATGTTGTTTTCTATGAAACATTTCATGTGTATACTTTTATGCGGGACGCTCTAAATTAATCAGGTACTGGTGATTTGTTGTGCATATTTAATGTATATACATATCTCCTCGGGACCTCTGGCTAATGTTGATATGTAAATTGTAATATTAATATTCAAATATGAACATTTGGTATATCAAATATGGTAGAATAAGACTAAATCATGTTCTTAGTATCTAAACAATTGTAAAATTTTGCTATCTTTTTGTTTAATTTGTATATAATTATTGAGTGTTATTTAACATTGTAGTCAGTTGCATGAAAAAAGGGCTGGTGGGGTAGCCCAGTGGTTCGGTCGTCAATCTGAAGACCCAGGTTCGATTCTCTACATTGGTACACTGTGTGAAGCCCGTTTCTGGTGTCCCCTGCTGTGATAT